ACAACTAGCTGTCCTCCTGTGGAGCACAGTGTGTGCATGTGATGGTCTCTTCAAATGGTCACAATTTCGCAGCCGGGCGTGGTGGTGCACGCCTGTAATCCCAGCACTCGGGAGGCTGAAGCAGGAGGATCGTTGCGAGTTCGAGACCAGCCGGGGCTACAAAGTGAGCTCAAGGCCAGCCTGAACTGCATAGTGAGACCCTGTCTCAAAAAGACAAAAACAAAACAACAACAAAAAAAAACAAACAAAAAAAACCCAAATGGTCACAATTTCTTTGTCACTTCTGTCAAAGGGTGAGGTTTCAATGCTCCCTCGCATTGAAAGTGTGTGTGGTCTGGCTGCTCTGAGGACACAGTGAAAGCAAACCTGAGTGGCTTCTGAGCACAGGTCTTCGTGGACCTTGTAGCTTCTGGCTGCTTCTGTTGGAATGTCCTCCCTCTCGTTGCTTCCTCCTTGCAGAAGCTGGCTGTAACAAGCCTGAGGCTGGGAAGACTGCTCTACATGCTCTGTTGACCTTCCAGTTGAGCTCAGCTCTCAAGCCATCCAGCTCAAAACCAGACATGACAGTGAAGGGACCTCTGGATGATTCCAGTACATAGCGGAGGCCCAAATGTCACAGAACAAAGCTAGGCCATCCTTGCTGGGCTGTCCACATTCCTGGCCAACAGAATGGTGTGCGTAACAAAACAGTTGTTTTATGCCATCTCAAACTTATGGTCTGTCATGCAGCAACTGACACCACCAAGGAAACGGTATGCACTGATGCCAAATGCCCCCGGGGCAGGGGATTTGCTGTACAGGCACTAAAAAGTTGCTTCGGTTTGGGAACAAGTCAACAGGGTTTGAGGGACTAGAGCACGGATGCAGCGCACACTGAGGGGTTCGAACCCCCGGATCTGGAGTCTTCTCTGTAGGCTCCTGCTGTCCCCCAGCAATCTCAGGTTTGTGCTGGGGGTCTCAGTCGCCACCCTTCTGTGGAAACTCCTCCTCTTCTTCTGGCGTGTGTCATGCTTCATAACAGACTGTCTGCTTCCCCCCTGTAATCACAGCCACGCGAGCTGTCCAGGAGAGGAACCCAGCTGCTGAACTGAACACAAAGGGCTACGGGAAAGAACAGTGTCCTGAGTGTCATTTCCTCCCTTGTCCCTCAGGTTTTCCAGGAATGGTTTCCCTTCTTCTGTAGAGGAATGGACCGAATCAAAGCAGCATTCAGTAAGCACTCACTACGTGGCAAGCACTGTGTGAGGTGCTTTTATGATGACCTCCCTTAATTTTTATTATTATTTGTCATTACCAGCTTTCTTGAGACAGGGTCTCACTTTGTTTCCCAGGCTGACCTCAAACTCACCACAGTCCTTCTGCCTCAGCCTCCTGAGTACTGAGTACACCACCATGCTGGCAATCTCATTTAATTGTAAGATTCCACACAGTGGGGACCACATTTAAGAGAAAAATAAAGGCTTGGGAGAGAATCACTTTCCTGTGACTGTGCCAATAGCGAGGGAGAGAGAACATAACCCGGTATCTGTCCCCAAGGCTGGCCTGCTCTATCACAGGAGGCAACTCTGCTGGTTTGGGAGTCGGGAGGACTCGGGGCTGCGGGCGGCTTCCTCGCATGTGGGAAAGCCCCTGAGTGCAAGATGAGCAACTGTCTGGTGGGGATCAGTTTGGAATCATCACAGCCTGCACAGGGAGGTGCTGGGCGTCCAGCTTAACGCAGCAGAGGGCCAGGGGCAAGGGACATGGGCTGCAGAACAAGGGACAGCTAAGGAGGCGGGGGCCGGGTTAAAGCCAGGGCCTGGCCCATCACTGGCCTGGGCCTGACTTTTCCTGCAGCCCACATGAGCCACAGTCCACACCTACCCTTGGCTGACTAAAAAGGGCGATCAGAAAACAACTTATCCTTTTCATAGAGGAGAAACAAAGACCACACAAAATCATTTCATATTTGTGTCATTTGACAGAAGACACATTGCTTGTTGGGGAAACAATGAAAAAAACCCAACCTCAGATTAATGCTAAACAATTTCATTCTGAATACACTGGATTTACTGAGAAACAAAGATGGACAGTTTGGCAAAGACAAATAGATGAAGACATAGATAAAGCCTGAGACGGGGGTGAGGGGAAGAAAGGGCACAGGAGGGATGAAAACTTTGAGTATAGTTTTGCCTCCTCTTTATTTTTCTCTGGCCTCAAAAAAAGTGTTCTGGAATGGCTTGTCCGTTTCTTTAATAGACATATGAGTACAGAAATAATTCAACAGGAATGTCCATATCAGCATTATTCACCATAGTAAAAAACTAGAAACAAATGCTCATTAATTGGCAAACAGGTAAATCAAACACGGTACATCCAGACAACGGGCTGTGACACAGAAACAACAGTGAACCAACTCTCAAACCATCTGGACATGAATGAGCCTCAGGCACTCAGTGCTGCATGAGGTCAGACACAGAAGGTACTGTGATCCCAGTGACATGACGTTGCAAGGGCAGAACCGTAGAGCAGAAAGCAGACTATCCGCTGGGTGGGGGAGAATGGGGTGAAGCAGGTTTCCATGCCGGGTTGTGGCAGGGGCCACACCACTGTGTAAACTAAGGCGTGAAACACCATGTGCCAACTTCCCATAATGAGTGCATTATGGATCGCAACATGTACTAATAAAAAAATTTAAATTTAGTAAAACTCAAGGAAATGTATCTAATAGGTGAATTTTATGACATGTCAGTTAACCTTACTAAAACTTTATAGCAAGGTATTCTGCAGGTCATATAATCCAGACTACATTAAAAACCAAAGTTTCAAAGGATAAGGACCCGACACTTCTCATCAGAAGGACGATGGCAAACATGGTAAAATGAGATCGCCAGTGCTGGGGCTGTGTCAGCACAGGCTTGCTACAACGTCCTAGAAGTGAAATCAGCTTACAGGTACATTTAGGTACTATTCTTATTCTCAGAGAGATTATCCATAAGCAGAATTGGTTTTAAATCGATTCATGGTGGGCAGATCTGAAGTAAAGTTATTCACAGAAGGCAGCAGTGACTGAAGGCGCATCTTGAGAATGACACTGTAGACGGCGAAGCTCGGCCATGAGAGGCAGCACGGAGGGGGAGTGCGGTCCAGGGAGGAACTACACACGCAGGAAGACTTTCCCAGAAACTTCCTGGTGCTGTAGGTCAGGGGGTGCCCCAGAAGATTCTTTCACAGTGACACTAAGCTGTAGGAAGTGATAAACCAGGTGTGAAACCCACCGTCCCTTGCTAAACTTTTAAATGTTTTCATCAGTAAAGTGGATTGGTCACTTCCTATCTTCCAGGGCAGGTCTCAACATGGGTGAACAATTATAAGGAACGCACACTCCAGTGAGGTGACCACACTGTACTGCCCAGGTCCTCTGCACCTCTGCTTGCAGCTGAGGGAGGGAAGTACCAGTCGCCAATGTGCACATGCTTCCAGGCACCACCTCGGCTTCCTCTCCAGAGCTTACCAGTGTTGGCCAGAGCCGACATTTCATTTCATGTTCCCGGTAACGCAGCAGTGGGTGGGGAATGAAATGAGGCTGTGGGTCCAGGAAAAGCCTTTGACCAGCGATATGCTCAAGCATCGAAGAGCGCAGAACATCTAGGAGGGCTGCTATGGGAAAGGGGCCCAGCTTGACATCTAGTTTCAGCTTGCCTCAGTTTGACTTCTGCATCTGGCTCATCCAAAGGTTTAAAACTCTCCTGTTGACACCCAGGTTGTTATTATTTGTGCTCGTGGGAGAAGAAAAAATACACTGCCATGAAATACTGGCCAGTAAAGCAGGGTAGTGATAAAAAGCCTGTAATCACATGCCTATAATCCCAGCACTCAGAGGCTGAAGCAGGAGGATCGCCATGAGTTCGAGGCTAGCCTGGGTTACACAGTGAGTCCAAGGCCAGCCTAAACTACAGTGAGACTCTGTTTCAAAAAACAAAACAAAACAAACATGGTAATCCCAGAACTGTGGAAAGGTGAGCAGGAGGATTACAAATTTGAACCCAACCTGGACAAATATGTGACACAAGGGGGCTGAGGATATAGTTCAGTGCAAACAAAGGTACTGGGTTCAATTCCCAGTACAGAAAAAAAACTGTGGATTGACATAGGAAATATCCTTCCATTGTCTATCCTTTAAAAAGTTACATATTATCTACAAAGAATTATTTAAAATAGAGATAATAAAAAGTCAAGTCTCCAAAATGCTTACCATTGAGATAGAATCATAGCAACACTTATGTTACTATTACTCAAAACCTTTCTTACTCAATACAAACATGTTCCGCAGCGTACGCTTGGTCATGACAGCGGAGTGCATGGGTTCAGACCCTGCTGCTGCCCCATATAGCCCTGTGACTGATGAACTGGGAATAGGACAGTGGCTTTTTCAAGGTTCTTGCGAAGGGCAAGTAAATTAAACTTTTCTATATCAGAAGCGTGCATGATACAGAACAGGTACTCAACAATGAGCGCTCCATTCCCATGTCGATGTGCATATCTGTGCTTGTGCACAACACATACATGCGTGCATGCCCGTCCCTGACATGCTTACAGGATTACAGTGCCTGTGTCAAGGTGTGTAGTTCTTATGCCTACACACAAATGGGATCTGTGACGTACTATCGAAGTATTTCTTGTTGAGCACAGACCTGCATCAGCATTTGATGGCTGAACGCTGCCTTCCTATAGAGGCGGACCATGCTAAGGTCACTGGACAGCTGTGGATCACTTAGGCTGTGTGATTCTTGTTTGGAGGTGTATTTATGCATTACCTAGTAGATACCACAACAATTCAAAAGCAAGTCAAATAAGGATCAGAAAAGCAGCACTCTGCCAGACCAAACCGAGACTATTTTGTATCCCTTTGAAGCCCAGGCTAGAGAAGTGACTTAGTCAGCCTACTCAAGTCTAATTATAGTTTAAATCAGACCAGATCATTTCACACTTGTTCAACATGACGAACAGGAACAGCACCATTTGAGTACAAATTTTATTTTACAAAGACATGATTCCTCCAAATCAAAATCAGGAACACCTTTCCAGCTCCTATTCCAATTGTACAGCTTCTCCTGTGCATGACAGTGGCACCCCTCCCTTACCCACCTAGGATGGGCCCTGGTGGGGGGCACAGCAGGGCCGCAGTACTCTTGGGTAGAAACACACTCCCTAACTCACTCTCCAGTGCAGCTCTCCAGCGAATGCTGGCGTGACAAGAAGGGCCGGGGAGGGTGTGCAGGGCTAGAACCCTGAAGGGTCAGTCATCCCACGTTGTTCAGCCATGAGGTGTGAGGAACCAGGTCGAGGGGTATGGGTCACGGGTGCACCGATGACCGGCTGGTCCACCAGCTCCACGGCACACAGCTCAGGGCCGCAGCTGCCGCAGGGTGCACGCTCCAGCTCCAGCACTGTGATGTTGTTCGGGGCTGAGGTCGTCAGGATGTGCTTTGGCACAAACAAGGTCATCTGGGGACCCCGCGCTGGCCAGTAGCGGCCAAGGTTAAAGCCGTTAATCCACACCTGACCCTGGAGAGAGAGAGACAAAAGAGACAAAACCATCAAACTAGGACACACTGACAGCCCTGAGGAGCGAGGGACCCCTGATGTGTGGATCCAGCAGCACTGGAAGCAAGAAATGTCCACGTGAAGGTGAGGCTGAGGCCTGGGCCGACCAGCCTGGGCTGTAGCGTCCCGAGAAGGCAGAGGGCAGGCAGGAGAACAAAGTGCCGCCAGGGCCCCACTGCAGCTTCTGGAGACCCTTGCTCAGTCGTCTGGCTTCAGCAGCCACAGCTGTCAGTCCTGGAGAACAAAGGAGCCGTCCCACCAAGCTGCTCTTTTTTGAGACAGGGTCTTACCATGTACTCCAGGCTGGCCTTGAACTTACTACACAGCCCAGCCTGGGCTGGAACTATTGATCCTCCAGCCTCTGGTTCTCAAGGGCTGGAATGGCAGGTGTATGCCACCACATCCAGCCCAGCAGTACCAAGTTTTGGAATGTCATCTTGGCTCCAGATACTGCCAGGCTTGGTACCCCAGCTCCTCCTTACTTCCCTGGGCTCAGAGAATTGCTTCACTGCCTCCTTCACTGTCACAGCTGCGCTGTCTGCTGTATATCCAGGGAACATGCGGCGACGGAGAGCACCCCAGGGTCTGCGGTCTGCGAACAGGCAGGCACCAGTGCACTCCCCAAAAATACCCTCAAGAAGGACTTGGGGCTGGTGTGGGGATCTCACTGCTGCTGTGCCCACCCAAGGTGATGGGGGGGACTCCATGTTTGCTGCAAGGAGCAGAAGTGACTCTACAAGCTGCAAAAAGGCGGCTTCCCAGAGCAACGCTGACAGTGGGGAGAAACTCCTAAAGAATAAGGCCTGTTTTTGGTGTTTGTTTCTGTGCTACTGGTGAATGAACCCACAGCCTTCACCCTGAGCTACATTCCTAGCCCTTTTCTTATTTTTCATTTTGAGTCTTGCTAAGTCACAAAGTTGCCCAGCCTGGGCTCAAACTTGCAATCCTCCTGCCTCAGCCTCCCAGAGTGCTGGGGTTACAGGCCACCATGTCCAACTCCATGTTTGGTGTGTCTGGACAGCCTCCCCACATCCTGCATGCTGGGCCAGGATTTGCTCATAGGTAGATGAACAGATAGACACTCTTACAAAGAAAGAAAGTGAAGTGGGGGTGGGGGAAATCACACACATAAGAAACAGAAAACCTGGACAGGAAAGAAAGGAAATAGAGACAGAAGAGGGAGAATGGCAAGGAGGAAGAAGGAAAGAAACTGCTATCCATAGTGGCTCAACTCAGTGGCAGCACATGATGTGTGATACGAATGCCACCCTTCACCCCACACCTTCCCTTTGGTATCTGGCAGCACCCCAATGTCCCCTTGTTCTAGCTCCTGAATTTACCACCCAGCTTCACATTCTTAGTCTTACCACTTCCCAGCTGTCTGATCTGGGGCAGTCTATACTCAGGTCTCTGTGCCAGTAACTGGGGACAAAAAGGACATAACAGAATGGCATGTCCATGTCCTCCCAGGCCTGGCGTGGGCGGAGCTCCCCGAGGGTAGTGCCCCTCGCGTTCTGGAAACAGAGAGCTCAGCCCTCACACCCCACAGAAGGAGGGCAGTGACTAAAAACCACCTGTCTGTTGGATGAAGTCATTTAGAGAAAGGACGACAGTTTCACAGTTCTCAGAACTATTTTACTCTTTTTTTTCTTTAACCACGGGACACGGTATCTCCATCCTAAAAGGTATCAGTGAGTTTTACCAGGTTTTCATGCGTTTCAGGTCTAGCAGGGTTTGTTTCTGCAGCCCCAGAGAACAAAGCGCTTTCCTGTTGGGTTTAAGGTGGCCGCAAGGGCGGATGAGCATGGGGGCTCCGTGAGCCGCTCGCGAAGATCGGCCTATCCTACACAGGGTTTATGACTCGATACTGACAAAGGCCTGGCCAGCTCCTGACCAAACAGGGAGAGACCAAAGAGGAATGTGGCCACATCTCATCGTGTCCAGAGTTCCCCTCCCATCTCCAGGCCGCACGGTGCGGGTTGGCCTGTCGTGAGCCGTTCCCTGGCATCACCTTCGCCGGAGGCTTCTGGGTGAGGGCTGCTGTGCAAGGACTCTGCTTGGGACTTGGGAGGTGCCGAGGAATCGGCAGCCGCTGCTCCTGGGCGGTCATCATGGTCAGATACACAGGCCAACTGGACCAGCGGTCCCCGTGCACATCCAGCTTGTCTTCCTGAATCTGGTCCACAGCCAGAGGCCATCGTTCCCAACGACTCTCTGTGAGTCTCTGAATGCTACAGTGGTATCTGGTAGAGCTTCTCAGGTTGCCCTTGGCCACCCACGCCAGGGCTCCCTGCGAGCAGGTGGGTGTTTCTGGCCTCACTTCCCACTCTCCCACACAAGTGGAAGCTCAAACTCCTGATGGTGAATATGCAGCTCCAACTCACACACCCAGCTGTGACTGTGAGACCAGGCTTCCTTCCTACCGGACCCTATAATCTAGGGTCCATCGAGCCAGCTGGCTGGGACTGGCCAGTGCCGCTGCTGGCCTGTGAACTATCTTCTCTTCTTAGGCAGGGAGGCTCCAGCTACCAGTCAGCACTGTGCCCAGCAGGCTCAGCCCCAACTGCTTCCTTCCAGAACACTAATACTTCATGGTAACTGGAGGATTCTTGGAGCTATGAAAACTTAACCCAGAAGTGGCAAGAAATTTCAAGAGAGAAATACATTTGATTTTATGTCTTCCTTACATGTATGGAATGGTAGAATTAAAATGTGAAATTACCTGGAGCTAGATTTTCTTTTATAGTAAAGTTTTTTGCTTTTAAAAATTTTTTCCATGTTTTTGATGTCAACTTTGTTATAGAATTTTTTCCTACTTCATCTAAATTTCAAATGTTTAGCATAAGATTGTTCACTATCTCCTTTAAGGTCTTTACTAATGTCTTCATATTTTTACTCTTTATACTGGCTAGTTTTTTTTTTTCTTTCTACTCGATCAGTCTTGTGTGGTATAGCTTTGTTAATTTTTCTTTGCATGAACCAACTTTTTTCTTTATTGCTTGTGTATTGTACATTTGTTTTAAAAATGTCTTTACATTCTGTTTTTGTCACTTTAAAGACAAGCTTTTAAGGCAAACTAATGCATAACAAGCTTACAGAAACATGCAGCCTGTCACTGCATGGTCTGATTAAAGTTAAAAAATTACTATTCTTGTATAATCACCACTGACAAGCAAAGAACATATCTGTACCCCTTGAGATACCCCTTGAAGTCACTATTTCCAATCTCTTCCCCAGTAATGTTTACTCTCCTGATTTCACTTGCCATAGATTAGTTTTGCCTAATTTTGAAGTACATATAAGTATCTATATTTTATGTAGTTTTTAGTATCCAGCACATTACACGTAACTGTCATTTGCTGATTTTAAAAGCTGTATGGCCAGGTATGGTGGTGCACACCTGTAACCCTTAGCACTCAGGAGGCTGAGGCAGGAGGATCACTGCAAGTTTGAGACCAGCCTGGGCTACAAAGTGAGCTCAAGGCCAGCCTGAACTGCATAGCGAGACCCTGTCTCAAAAAGACTAAAAAAAAGCTGTATGATTTTCAATGGTACGACTATGCCAATATTTTTTCTTTTATTGAGGTGTTAGAGATTGAACCAGGGCCTTGCATGTGCTAGTACTATCGTAAGGATAGGAACAAAAAAAAGGGCCAAGGAGGATTGAATTTTCATTTCTAATTCATTTAAATTTAAGCATAAATGGGCACAGGTGGCTAAAGGCTGCTGCAGTGAGCAGCAGGGCTGCGGGTGGGGAGAGGCTTGTGCTTTCATTGTCAGACGGTGGACTCTCCACCCCGCCTCCTCATGGCCAGGCTTCTGAATCAATGCCTCATCAATCCTACTTCAGAACAAAGCAGCCTCCTTGGTCCTGACTGTTAACTCCTGAACCAGGCTCTACATGGGAGCCATTCGGTTCATTTCCATACATTCCTGCTTCTGAGCTGCTTCCCATAGCCGAGTCCAGACCGTCCTCCTCTCTGCCCCGTCTCTTCCCTGCCAGGCCCTTCCCTGCCCACTCAGCTCTCCACAGGACGTTTCCCCGCTTCGAGTCCTCAGGTCCAAACGAGCCCTCTGAGGGCAGGGCACGCCCTTCCCAGCGCAGGGCTTTCCCTTCCAATCACTCCCTCACCCTTCAATCTCTTTTTCTTCCTTTAGTTACTACCATTATTGGAAAGGCATAGCGTCTGCTCAGGGACTGCTTTATCAGCTATTTCAGGCTCTAACGCAGTTCTGCGAAGAGAAAAGCTTTGCCCATTTTGCCTGAGGTGAGAATCTCAGCCTTCAGCTTGGAAGAAATATATTCACTATATACTTGGCCTCGCTCATTCGATGGTACTTGTTGCTAATTCTGCCTGAGAAGATTCCCCAGACAGATGATCTGAAGCCCTGCTGAGGAAGGGCCTTTTTAAATTCCACTGTTCACAGTTTAAGAGTTTTAAAGAATACTGTTACCTAAAGGAACAATGAAATGTTTGCATTCCCTCCTTACCCTGGACCAGTAAAAAAGCATTTTAAAAGAATGGAACTTTAAAATAATTCTAGTTAAAAAATATATACAGTATGTTTTTTTCTTCTCTTTAAAAAGTTATGATGAAATTACTGTTGGAAAATGTGACTGAAAAGTGAACACCCTCCTAACTAACGCGGTGAGCTCCACGCAAGCCATGGACTTTCAGCACATATCAGTGGCTGCTGGGGCTTCCTGAGCCCAACCCGGCGGCACAGTTCCCACAGCAAGTCTGGCTTGCTCTGACCGTGGCCTAGCCCCACAGACTCCCTGCCCTTTGCTATTAATGCCGAGGCTGTAATAACAGTTTCAATAAGTGCAGGGTTCCCAGAAACGTCTGACCTACTTTTTTATTGATCAGACAGATTTGTGAATTTATCTGTTTTAGCTTATCTGGATAAATACAACTTTCTTAGAAGAATTTAAAGCACAAATTTCAATACTGTTTTAA